GGCTTTATCCAGGAAATCCCAGAATCCACTATGACGATCTCAGTGTAAAACATTATATCATTATTATATAAGATGGAACAAAGTCAAGCAGTGTTAATTATAAATACATTTATATTTCATTCAATACTTAAAATTATTCACAACAAAATAGTTCCATCTAATGACTGAGGAATGCTTGGTTTCAACACATATTTTCATGTGATACTTTTTTGCTTATTGGAGAATCACGTTGTTAGCTAATGCTAAAGTCTGTATTAACTGTGAAGTCTCTATTGTACGCACAAATTAAAGGGATAGTTCACTTAAAAAGGAGTTGTTTCAAAGTTGTTTCAAATCTGTATGAATTTCTATCTTCTGTGGAACACAAAAGAAGATATTTTGAAGAATGTCTGTAATCGAGCAGTTGATGGACCCCATTGAATTCCATAGTATTTTTTTCCTACTATGGAAGTTAATGATGAATGATGACAGAATTTTCATTTTGAAGTGAACTAATCCTTTATGGGTAAATGTGATTTGATTTCACCAAGTATACAACGTGTTCCTGGATCAACATCTTTGTTCGATTTCGAACACAGCTTTTGACTAGAAATTAAAGCTGCTGTCCGTAACTTTTTTAAGTTAAAAATAATCCAAAATAATTATATAAAAAAAAACTTATTCTGCCAGTGGTCAAAACTATCTGCTTGCCATAGCTAGATTCAAAACGGTTAGCTTGTAATAATGATTTTAATTCCAGTGGTACTGGTGGGTTTCCGCGGGAAATTCGAGCATGTCTTTGCGTCATGACGTCACACCCGTACACATAAAGAAGGAGTTTCGGCTAGCCGGCTATACTGCGCGTGACAAGATGTTTAGATGTATAGGCTTTTCTCACAGCACTTTACATTATTAAACTTATGGCATCCAGAAAGATCCAAACAACAATCATCAGTGTCAACTGGAGATTCAGCAGTTATAAAACCCAAAAGACTTCGTACTTCGGATTTAAGGTGGCTAGAGAAAGAGAAAGAAACCGTCTCATGCGAACACAAGGATTTAAACATCAGCGGGGCTTTTGAAAAGTGCATGAACTCCGTGTTTTTGAAGGGGTTCAAAACGGAAGAAGAAGAGACAGCTTTTTTCTGCTGAACAAGACATTTCAATAATTCAATCGTGTAACAGTACGTCTTAATTCACACAGTTATGGAGTTTCCTTTGTTGTGCCTTTTCTCGTTTTGCTATTATGGAGAATATGAATTCTGAACTACACAGGTAACCATAAAACACATTAAATTTAACATTAGTCACGCAATGCTGATGTTGTTAACATGAACAATTTGAGAACAAAGTAGGCTATAACTTCGTTAAATCTAACGAAGCTTATCATGTCGAATGCTTTTTCCCCCTTAGTTGGTCAGAACAAAAATGGATTTTACTTGTTCAGAAGACATTTTCTTATGAAAATTCTTATGTTGGTCAAACTTTCAAAAAGTGAATCTGTGATTCTGTATGACAGTATCCACACAGTGCGGTGACTGACAGCAGCACTCGCCTCAAAGCACTGTGTTCATCCGCGCTGTTTCATGCCGATTTACAACCCACGTAAAGATGATAATTCCGCGAATCACTGCAGTTACAGATTTCGAACAGAGAGATGGCGACAAAGAGGAAAAGCTACGGACTGCAGCTTTAAACTGAAGGTAAAATAAAACCAAACATGACAAGACTGTGACAGGAACATTACTTTTGTTCTCTGAACATTCTCAAAAAAGAGTCACATGTATAAAATGCCAGACGAAAGAAAAAAAAAAAAACGTTCCATGACCGATGTATAATGTTTCTGTGCTAACGTTTTGATGAGAAATCCATTATAATCCATTATTAAAATGTTCTGGGTTGCTTGGATTCTTAGCATTTTCGCATTGCACTGCGCTGCTTTTCCATTGTTTTATATGTAATCATGCTAGACGGGCGTATTTCAAGCGTGTCTCGTGTCTTTTGCAGCATCTCGCATGACACATTATTCTGGTAACGCTCAAATTCCTGTCACATGAGCATCTCAACTGCTCTGCATCTCGCATTTTTAATAACAAAAATTGCGTTCTGTATCAGTGGTCCTTTAAGCTTTTAAAGCTACGTTATTAATAGGGAACAGGATGTTGAAAGTTCTGCACTCCCAACTGTGTTTTATAGGGCTAATGGAAGTACTTACTCTTTACTGTAAATGTCTCAGTAAATTCCCTCGTTTTAGAATAAAAAATGGCAAACACAGTAATCACATTGACCCCGCAGGATTTCCCTTTCACTTTCACAACTCTTGCCGTGGTGGCGGAAAGCTTTGACCTATAGGCCTTTAAACTCTGTGAATAACTCTGTGAAGTGTCCAGATCCTTTTTATTGCCTAATCATAACTCTAGTTTTTCTCATTTATATGGGCTAAAATGAACGGGCTACAAAGTTGTGCAAAGAGCCTGTATAAAAAATTTCACAGTAAAAAAATAAAACGCAATAAGCATGTTGCAATAAGCTATTACAATTTAAAATTTAGCATCAGAATTACCTTCCCTGGATTAAACTTGAGATCTCAAATTTCAGAATTGTCTTTTGTTAAAGCTCCAGTCCGTAACTTTTTTAAGTTAAAAATAATCCAAAATAATTATATAAAAAAAAACTTATTCTGCCAGTGTTTAAAACTATCTGCTTGCCATAGCTAGATTCAAAACGGTTAGCTTGTAATAATGGTTTTAATTCCAGTGGTACTGGTGGGTTTCCGCGGGACATTCGAGCATGTCTTTGCGTCATGACGTCACACCCGTACACATAAAGAAGGAGTTTCGGCTAGCCGGCTATACTGCGCGTGACGAGATGTTTAGATGTATAGGCTTTTCTCGCAGCACTTTACATAATTAAACTTATGGCATCCAGAAAGATCCAAACAACAATCATCAGTGTCAACTGGAGATTCAGCAGTTATAAAACCCAAAAGACTTCGTACTTCGGATTTAAGGTGGCTAGAGAAAGAGAAAGAAACCGTCTCATGCGAACACAAGGATTAAACATCGGCGGGGCTTTTGAAAAGTGCGTGAACTCCGTGTTTTGAAGGGGTTCAAAACTGAAGAAGAGACGGCTTTTTTCTGCTGAACAAGTAAGACATTTCAATAATTCAATCGTGTAACAGTACGTTTTCTTAATTCACACAGTTATGGAGTTTCCTTTGTTGTGCCTTTCTCGTTTAGCTATTATGGAGAATATGAATTCTGAACTACACAGGTAACCATAAAACACATTAAATTTAACATTAGTCACGCAATGCTGATGTTGTTAACATGAACAATTTGAGAACAAAGTAGGCTATAACTTCGTTAAATCTAACGAAGCTTATCATGTCGAATGCTTTTTCCCCCTTAGTTGGTCAGAACAAAAATGGATTTTACTTACTTGTTCAGAAGACATTTTCTTATGAAAATTCTTATGTTGGTCAAACTTTCAAAAAGTGAATCTGTGATTCTGTATGACAGTATCCACACAGTGCGGTGACTGACAGCACCACTCGCCTCAAAGCACTGTGTTCATCCGCGCTGTTTCATGCCGATTTACAACCCACGTAAAGATGATAATTCCGCGAATCACTGCAGTTACAGATTTCGAACAGAGAGATGGCGACAAAGAGGAAAAGATACGGACTGCAGCTTTAAATTGACAACTTTCCTTTTCAAGTTGACTACTTGAAGCGTAAACACTTGCGATATAACATCATATATAGAGAAAAGGTTTGGAGACTTATGTGATGAATTGAATTCTCTAACACTGTTTTATAGTTTCCCCATATCTCCCATCCCAAAGTATCGCATGCTGTTTCCCTCAAGGCGCTGACTTAAAACCACACCGATTCCTACATTTTTCTGGCTTGATAGAAAAAAAAGCCATGCTGTTTATCATAGGCTCAATTGAAAATAACCGCAGAGGGAGATGGACTAATGGGAAAATAAATAGCTAAATCTTATACTTCAGGAAGCAGATTTTGAACTTGGAACAGACACACACTAACAAGAATATGATACGGCTCAGCTTCTTGTCCTGGCACACATTAGAGAGACTTTCACTGTGTAAATGCCCTGTAAAAACACAGAAGAGGAAACATGCATTATTGTTTCCTGCCACCAGAGAGGGCTGTTGTTTAAAGGCCCTGTCATGTAAGTCCAGCATTTCTGGTCACCAGCATCTTTTTTCATGCAGGGACCAGTATGGGAAGTGGGAGTGCAGGTGGACCAGATACACCAGCTCAGATTTGCTTGAGAAAAGCATGACTAGACCAGCACTATACCAGCTCTAACCAACATTACCAGCCTGGACCAACAGGGAATTATTGCTGGTTTATAAAAGCAATGGTGGCGCCAAGAAGCCGTGGTTTACAGTGAATTTAGAACAGCTAATGGGCATTGTTTGGCGGAGCTGTTATATATTCAAACCATGGCTTCACATGGATTATTGCTTTTATAAAACTTTTAGCACACATACCAGGGCCTGGTCTCAAAATTAAAGGTGAAGGGTGCCAACATGGGTCACTCATACTTCATTCATTACATAAATAACAAACAGTTACTATGCTGAAATACATAATACTGGAACCACAGCAACACATACTGATATAATGAGGTCACAGGTGTGTGTTTGTCAAGTATTTACAATGGCTCCCAATGCAGCTAAACCAATCAGAATCAAGGACCGGAACTATGAGTTTTCTAAGCTTTTTAAGTCTCAACAGGGTGTTCTTTATTGTTGAAGAAGTGATACATGAACCTTTTTAATGGGTGTGTTGGTGGGGGTTAGGGGGTGAATGGAAAAGCACAGTATATTAAATTGTATCTTAACTTTACCTGAAGATTAAACCATTCTCGAAATGACATGTTCTCGAAAAAAAATTATATTAATGAAGTGTGTTTTATCATAGCCTTTGTAGAGTATTGATTATATAATCTCTGTCTTTTTGTCAGACACTTTTTTTTTTTTTTTTGCAGAGTTCTTCCTTAGGAAATGTTAACAGCACTGCTAAAGGTAAGAGAATCAGTTCATGACTTAAAACATCAAATACATATACATCAAATACACTGGTTTATCATTTCTACATAATTTGTTTAGATGATACGCTCTGGAAGAAAAGGTTCAATATAGAACCTTAAAGGGTTCCGTCAGGTGCTTCATATATAGAACTGTTTATGGGTTCCCATCATGGGATTATTTTATTATTTTTTAAATAATTAATTTTGTTTTAATTCAATTTTAATTTTAATTAGATTTCATGAATTAAACAGCTCGTAAACCTACTTTATCACTTAACAAATCCATTAAACATGGAAGTATTATGCAATCGTTTAAAACATTTCTTCTCATATAAAAAGAGTGTATAGTTGGAAATAAAAAACAGTTTTTCCCCCATCTTTTTTACTCTGTTTAACATTTTTGTCTTGGTTATGAGGATCAGACACAGATCAAAAATGTATATTTTTCAGGAACTGTAAAAGGGGACATTGTACTTAACTCAAGTCCTTTTATTTGCCATGTGTTATTTATTTAGTAGAGCCTTTTTGGCAGTTTTTTAAACAAATTTACTGTCAAAAAAATATTTATAGCCTCTATTTCAGATGTAAGAGAGAGGCGTACTCAATAGTGAGAGTAATATGGCAATAAAAAGTCAAAATTTGTAATAAAGAGCCATTTCTCTGCAAGACCACAAAGGACATTCTCTTTTGAGAAATCCTGATAAATGAAAAACAGGAGGACACACACACACACACACGCACACACACACACTGCTGAGATTTTTCTTTTTGTCTTTCCCAGATATTTTGTAAATCATACATTTCTTTTTCGTTGTACATTTCTGCTTATATAAATGTGGGTCGTGTACTGTATATATTTGCCTTGCGAAATAAGAACAAAAGTATCTTGAGATGAAACTATAATTGGTTCAACCAGAAGTTCAGAATTTTAGTAACTATATTTTAGTCTAATGAGGCACTTTATTATTGGTTAATTATGGATTATGTGAAAAGTTCTTATCATAGTTTGCTCAGTGACTGCTTCTAAATGCTCAGTGATTGCTTCTTTTCTAGCGCTCTTTTAAATGTGTCTCATGTGTGTGTGTGTCTGTCGCAGTGATACTCTTTCAGGAGGTTTGGGGGAAAAGCTTCTGCCGCACTATAGAGAAGCTGGTGGAAGTGGTTCAGGAGTACCCTGGGGAGGTGGAGCACATCTTCAGCCCTGCCTGCGTGCCATTGGTCCGCTGCGCTGGTTGCTGTGGAGATGAGAACCTGGAGTGTCACCCTACGCTCACTTCTAACATCACTATGCAGGTAAGAACAACAATACTTACGGTTTCAAAAGAAGCACAACAGATCTTATTGTAATTGTGACATTATATCTCACAATTGTTTTTTATTTTCACATTTCTCTAAAAATAACCTCTTTTTTTTCCCATTGCTTCCACAATGTACTGAGACATTTGATTCCTCTGAATATTATATTATATTATACACTCACTGGCCACTTTATTAGGTACACCATGCTAGTTGGACCCCTTTTGCCTTCAGAACTGCCTTAAAGGGATAGTTCACTTTGAAATTAATTTTTGATATGTTTTAGCTTACCTCCAGTGCATCCAAGATGTAGGTGTCTTTGTTTCCACAGTATCTTCAATTTTGATAATTTTAGGTAAAACCGTTGTTGTCTGTCAGTCATACAATGGAGGTGAAGGGGGTCCTCCTCAAAGAGCAGTCAAAATGAAACATTATTTAATGACTCGTAAATGTAAGTACACATTGATGCCCTAAGACACGAAACGAGTGGTTTTTGTGAGAAAACGAACAGTATTTATATTGTTTTTACCTCTTGTAACCACAGCCATGTCCAAGTTATCTGAGGGCGCGGAAGCTTCCGTGTGTGACGTGTACGCAGACTGGTGCATAGATAAATTAGATGTCGCCTTGGCGACGGCAGTTCATTGGAACGAAACCTTAGCCAAGGCGACAGCTAGGGTATATATATCTATGCACCAGTCTGCGTACACGTCACACACGGAAGCGTCCGCGCCCTCAGATAACTTGGGCATGGCTGTGGTTACAAGAGGTAAAAACAATATAAATACTGTTCGTTTTCTCACAAAAACCACTCGTTTCGTGTCGGCATCAATGTGTACTTACATTTACGAGTCATTAAATAATGTTTAATTTTGACTGCTCTTTGAGGAGGACCCCCTTCACCTCCATTGTATGACTGACAGACAACAACGGTTTTACCTAAAATTATCAAAATTGAAGATACTGTGGAAACAAAGACACCTACATCTTGGATGCACTGGAGGTAAGCTAAAACATATCAAAAATTAATTTCAAAGTGAACTATCCCTTTAATTCTTCATGGCACAGATTCAACAAGGTGCTGGAAACATTCCTCAGAGATTTTGGTCCATATTGACATGAGCGAATCACACAGTTGCTGCAGATTTGTCGGCTGCACATCCATGATGTGAATTTCCCATTCCAGCACATCCCAAAGATGCTCTAGTCTATTGGATTGAGATCAGGTGACTGGAGGCCATTTTAGTTTAGTGAACTCATTGTCATGTTCAAGAAACCAGTTTGAGATGATTTGAGCATTTTCACCCACAGAACTGCCGTTCACTGGATATTTTCTCTTTTTCTGATCATTCTCTGTAAACCCTAGAGATTGTTACGTGTGAAAATCCCAGTAGATCATCAGTTTCTGAAATACTCCGACCAGCCCGTCTGGCACCAACAACCATGCCACGTTCAAACTCACTTAAAGGTGAACTAAGTAACTTTTTTACCTTAACCGAACAGCTTTGGAGTCATTGTAATGTTTATATTACTGATTTCGTGTTGAATGGTGGTCGTCTCGCACCCCCCTGGTGCCTGTGAGCCGCAAAACCACCCTTGCAACTTTGGGCAGGCGAGCCGCCGGCCTGAGTGTTAGGAAGTATCGTGTGATATCAGGTCTCGCGAGGTAACGAATTGCTTTACGGCAAAAAAACAGATCTGATAAAATTCTGATAAAATGAGCATTAAACAGAAATAACCCGGCGCCGTATACATGTGGTGTTGGGCGCGCGCAGCTCTTAAAGGGGCCATACCTTATTTCCACTCGTTACAGCGTCCATCCTACTGAACAGGTACCGGTGTACAGGGGGAGGGGATCCGGCCCTGAGTGCGAGCCATCTCTGCGTGAGTGCTATTCACGACAGTACAAGTAGCCTACTCCACAGCGACTCTAGGGGTCGCTGTTTGACAAAAACAGAATTCTTACTGAGTGCTGCTTTAAATCCCCTTTCTTCCCCATTCTGATGCTCAGTTTGAACTTCAGCGGATCATCTTGACCATTTCTACATGCCTAAATGCATTGAGTTGCTGCCATGTGATTGGCTGATTAGATATTTGTGTTAATGAGCAGTTGAAGAGGTGTACCTAATAAAGTGGCTGGTGAGTGTATTATATTATATTATATTATGACCTAAATATATAAAAATGGCCATGATTGTTAAGGTAACTTTGGCATTGTTTGCTTTTTCACTAAAGTAATATCTGTATCTATATCTGTAGACATCTATATCTGGAGACATTGTTTTGTCTGTGTCAGGCACACAGCTGTGATGGATATTAATATTTTGACTTTTTCAGTTATTAAAGATTAAGCCAGCAGAGCAGGGCCAGGAATATGTGGAGATGACCTTTGTGGAGCACAAAGCCTGTGAATGTAGGTAAGGAAAAGACCAATTCAGTTTATGTAACCGTATGTTTTGCATACAGCTATTTTGTGATACAGCTGCTTATTGTTATTATAGATTATTGAACATAATTGAATATCGAATATAAATGTTGAAATTGTGAATGTGTTTTTCTGGATGAACTGAATGCATCATGTACGAAATATGTGTTTGTAATAGTCCCTCTGCTCTTCTTTTTGTCTCTGCATGATTTTTCTTACATTGTGATCAAGACTAAGAAAACCTTCAACAAAACAAGACAGGTAACAAGTCGTACCACACTTACGCAATTACACTTTGGTGTACTAACACATTGGATTACAGTGATTATTCATGTTTTTGTAGATGGAAACCCAGAAATAGAGGGAGAAAAAGGAAGGAGAAACAGAGAGTGAAAGACTGTGACAGGTAAGTTAAATATTGATAGTTTTACATTAGCTTGTAGCTAAGCTAACAATGCAATATTATAAGCATAAAGTGCATAGTACACTAAACATACATATTTAACTATACTTTCCTGTATTTAATGAAATCTAAATATACCGGTATATATTTTTTATCAACATCAACGATCTGCCATTGGATTGATTTTTTCCAGTGAAAATGCGCTAAAAATGACTTTCATTGATGAAAAACAGTATTAATAGTATATATAGCAGTAGTGTACGCTGCTGTCACTTTCATACACAGATCAAATATACACATGCGATTTCTTCCCTGCTGTTTACACTCACAGACATAACCGACTGTGTGTGAGTTTTGTTCTGTCTCTTTAAAATAACCTTGTGTGTATTTGCTAGTTTAAGCGCAATAAGATGCGAAAGTGAAATCAGTTTAATATATAGTTTATATAGTTTAACTGTGCACGTGCTTTGGATGTGTGCGCTCAGAAAACCATAAGAAGTTTACTGATACGGCTTTAAAGCATGCAAATAAAAAACTTTTATGACGATGAAGAACTGCAATGTCACGTGACCGTGGACGTGATAGAGATGATAATCAAAACCGAACAGGTGTTTTAGTTTTTGGCAGAGTATCTGAGGCATGAAGGCTCCGCCCTCTTCTAGATAGGGGGGCGGGGAGCAGCAGCTCATTTGCATTTAAAGATACAGTACATGCACGAAAACGGCATGTTTTTCCTTCCACTCAAAAAATGGGCTTTTACAACATGGTATAAAAAATGATGTGTGGTATTTTGAGCTGAAACTTAACAGACATATTCTGGAGTCCCCTTTAAAAAATAATGATGTGCATGGATAAACCATTTATAACAGGGCTCTCAAGTGTCACGCATTGAGCGTGACAGTCACTCATTTCGGTCTTTTGTCACGCACTCCCGCCACACATTGTATTTCTCACGCTGAAAAACTATTTATAATATATTTAATATGCCGCAGCGCCCAAAATTTCTCTGGCTGCGCCGGTCTCACTATGGAACCGGCAGGAATCAAGCGCGTCTCCCCTGGAGTTCTTAGTCGAGCCTGCCACTTATCAGCCAATCAGAAAAAAAAAGAAAGGGGTTACGCAATAGCCAATCAGAAAATAGCACTATTGTATCTGGGTAAGATTCAAGAAAAGTCATGATCTCCTGTTTTAATGTTACAAAAAATTCACAACTTGTTTGAGAGTGACACAAACAATGACAACTTGACTGCTGTTAGAGAATATTTCCCAGATAATTAGCATCAGTTTTTCATGAGTGTCTGTACCTTAGCCAACAGTTTTAAAGTCTGTTCACTGACAACACCTGCTCAGAACAAGTACTCTAGGCCTAGTCATATTTCCGTTATCACACGGGTTGGGGATGTCACTCTTGCCTGTCTTTAAAACTTGAGAGCCCTGTTTATAATACTGCAATATACCGTTAAAAAAAATAGTTTTTGATTTCATTGTGACTTTAAAGCCAGTAATTTCAGACATAACCACATGAATAAAATCATCTCACTAGGTTCTAAAACAAAGCTGAAATGATGTCTCCACATTTCAGTGACATTTTGATAAGAGCAGTTTTAAAAAAAATGTATTTAAAGACCACAAGGACAAAGAGTGCATTGTTTTCTGAGCGTATATGTGCTCTCTCTCACACACAGGTGTCAGCCTCCCCGTAGGTAAACGCTGTCTTGCCGAGATGCCAGCCAATCACGCGCACCCTCCCTCTTCTGTGCGACCCTCACCATCATCATCATTCACTCATGGATACTGCCACTGCTCCGCATCCCACGATCCCAGATGCGCAGTTGTTATGGTGACGGGGCTTGTGTCTGCAGTGATCTATACAGGAAACTCCTGTTGTGCTAGTCTCTACAGAAGAAAAACAAACCTAAAATCTGAGACTGACTTAAACCCTAAGGACTTATATTATTATAATATAATAAGATTGTTATTTTATTGTGTTATATTAATAACATTAGTAGTAGTAGAAGTAGTATATAGTAGTGGGAACTGGTTTAGCAGCCAGCTTTTCCAACTCTTATTTATTGAAATCCACTGAAGTACAACTGTTTGTGTTCCATTAATCAATATATTAAAAGAGCCATTGTGTGTTTGTTAATAAATCCAGGAGGAACCACAGAACAAACTAAGCCAAAGATATTCTATTTTCATCTGTCTTATCACAACTATGCCTATATTACACTTTACAGGTGAAAACCTTGTTAGGTGATGTTTTCATAAGTAGTATTTTCTTTTTAAAGCTTCTCTGTGGGTTTATTCCTTGACCTGAGCATCAAATAAGTGGATTGACATACTGACCTCTAGTGGTAATAATAAAATAATTACAGTACGTACATTCACAAAGTGTTCATCAAAGATTAATACTGATCTGAAAAAGTCATCCCGTAATAATATATATCATTATAGTTTTTTCAGCTATGGTAATAATACAAGATTTGATGTGTGCACTGTGTAAGGACAAAGACTTGCTCTGAAAGGGCCAGTCAACAGCAACCGAGACAGACGTTCATCACGATATGAGTGAATGTTGGTGTATTTGTATTATTGTGAAAATGACTGAATTTCCCACACTTTAGACTCGGGTCTGTAAAGTGCCGGAATTAAACCAAAGAGGCATTAATATCTATGCTGCTGACTGAGCGTAGGGCCCTAAATATAAATGCAAGATTATTCACCAAAGGGCTATTTCATTCCCAATGTATAAAAATGTTGTGTGTTTTTCATAAAATACTGTTAATATGTATTAATATTATACAAATCTAAGAGTAACTTTCAGAATAGAGTGACTATTGTTTATTTCTGATTATCATTAAAAAATGTTTTGTGAAATATTTGGTGTCTATGTGTGTGTGTGTGTGTGTGTCATTTTGACCAAAGACATTTTGTTTTATTAACAAAGTTCGGGAGGAACACGTTCAAATGATCTTAGCATGAGAGGACTCATCTATGTTCCTCGACTGTTTTCTTCATCCCTCCACGGCTCACCACTCCGACTCCTCACACTGGTCTGGTTACTAACCAGAGATAAGGGGGGAGTGCTCTGGGTTCGGGCCAAAATACCGAGCATACTACTTTACTCTATCAGATTATCTGATCGTTAATGGAAGTTGTGGTTGGGAAATGTAGTTTAAAATTGTTTAAATGTTGGATTTGTAAAGTCACAGTTCAATAATATATGTTCCATATTATAAAATCTTAGTTAGGCTGTATACAGTAAAGCATAGGCCTACAAGTGTTCATTTAAAGGGTGGATCTGTTCTTGTCCCACATTCTGCATTATAGTCAATAAATTCAATAAAACCACAAATAAATCTGTTCCAGTATCCAAATTTTGATTGATTTGATGCATATGATTTACACTTTAATGCGTTTATGACTTCCTGAAGTTGGAGTTTGTGAAGTAATTACCCAAGAGGCATGTCTGGACCTGTTGGGTGGGCTATTCTGTTGATGTTGCACAGTGCCAAAGGCCGTGTACTTTAGTTACATTTGTGTTTAAGATCAGGTTTCAGGTTAAGATTTGTAATGTTAGTGGATCAGGGTCAAGTGGACACTTGTAATCACCATTCAAAAAGAAGGAACACTTAATAATTCTAAAGAAATTACAGTTCTACCTGTGGCAAATAATAATAACAATAAACACATCCACACAATATTTATTTATTTACTAACTTTATGATACGTACATTTATTTGGATGTCACTGACGTTTGAACTGCTTGAAAAATCACAATACCAATGTTTTTATTACGTGGCTTCCATTATTCGCACAACATTTTTTATTTATGAAAAATGATGAGCTGGAGAGGATGATGACGCTGCAACGCGTGCTAGATTCACTCTTGACGCTGCAGTGCAGATTTCACCGTGTGAGAAATGCAGACCACATTTCACAGTCACGTTTACAGTCGCAAGGGTTCAACTCTGGACCAATCAGAAGGCGATATGCAAATGAAAGGGGGACCTTGCATAGTCAAGCAGGTGACGATTAGGCTGTTCCCCTGGTAACAGCCATTTAAGTCAGCTGTGAAGGCGGAGCTACGTTTGTAAACTCACGTTGCACTCTGGACAGTCTGGTTCCCACAACAACCGAAATATAAGCTTAGTTTGAACTTGTAAGTCGTCAAGCGTCATTTCACACACAAGCCATAACCAGAGAAGATAATTTATCTTGGTAAGTATTGAAAAACGTTTGTTTTTTTGTTGACGTGTGTGTTTATTGGAGAGTCTCGTGTTTGGCATCGTGTATCAAGTGCTGCAGTAACTACAGTAGACTCTGTCGTATGTAAAACTATTCACTTCTAGATCTAAAATAAGAAATAAGGTGCTTTTGTTATTTTAAAGCTATATTTTAAGATGTTGATATGTATTGTGTTATTTCTGCGGTGCTTTAAGAGCTGTTTTTATGTGTCTCTTTCAGTAACTGCTTGTTATTAATTCATTAGCTGTTTATTTACTATCAGAAACTGTATTTAGTAGTGTTTCCTAATTCACGATAAAGGGATTTTGCACGAATAAACCATACATTTTGTCTTTAAAACAGTTTTAAGTCAGTTTGGAGGTGCATTTCATTGACTCGAGTCATTAATGTGCTCATGTTACACTAGACTATCATATTTCAGGGTTTTGACTTTCCTTTATTTAATCCATGGGTCTGTCCTTCTCTCAGTCACTGCCTGGATCAGGGCTGTACAGATGGACTGAAATCAAACGAATTGGACCACCAGAGAAGATCCAACATGGGCAACAAACGGAAAGCCTCCAATGAGATCGACAAAGATTCAGGTTTGTCATTTATATATATTGCCATTTTTATATATAAACATAATCCTAACCCTAAAGTATGTACATGTAGTTAGTTATCATTACCAAAAGCTTAAATGTATAATTGCACTGTAACACGGACACCTTAAAATAAAGTGTAACCCAAGATTGTTTATACCCGTTGCCAAATAGGCCACTCCAGGATGACATTCAAGTTTTTAATATTATAAGATCCACCAACATGTTCTCTTCATCCAAATCCTATACCCCTGAAGCTAGTTTTATTAGATTGTGCTGGGTTTAACCCTGTGAGCAACCTTCTTTATTCAGTCAACACTTTGGCAGAAATATTGAAAAAAGTTTGATCAAATATATAGGCCTATCCGGTTGTTAAGTCGTGACGTAACCACTCTCCGATAATACTGTTTCCGGGTCCAAAGGCCGGGTCCTCTCTACCTACCTACCGCTTTCGCCCGAGTTTTAACGTGTTCCCGTGTTGTTTAAATAGATCGGAGTTAAAAAACAAGTGACATTCAACTGTCATTCTACCGCTTTCCCTGTGACGAGAAAGATAAGAGAAAATGGCTGCAGTTGATAAGGTAAGTTACAAATCTTAAACGAATGAAGAAACTTTGGCGCCAGTGGGTGCTATCCCTTAATCCCTAGTAACACCCACTGGCACTGAAGCGAAAAAAGCCCTTAAGAAAAGGGTTTATTTAGTCTAGGATCTGGAGTGGACGAGCGGAGCGCTTGGGCCCGGAAGAGGCTAAACGTCACGCGTGACGTCAGACTTAACAACCGAATACAGTATATATCGTGGCCACGAATTAAGAATTCGTTCACTCATTTTAGTTAAATCGAGGCCACAAATTAAGAATTCATTCCCACAATTTACTAATTCGCTCTCTAGTTTTGATTTAACTAAAACAAGGGAACAAATTATTATTACAATGTGGCCATGATTTAGTAAAACGAGGGAACAAATGATTATATTGTGCGCATGATTTTCTTAAAGCGAGGGAACGAATTAGTAAAACGTGCTGACCTATTAGTAAGTCATGATGTGAACAAACTGTAAATTCGTGGCCACTATACACACATATTGTTTTCCCACGTTATGTGCGGGGCTCCTGGATATAATAATACATTTAAAATTGAATTATTTATTCAAAAATCGATTTTAAAAACCTAACATAGTTTACCATAAATTTGTCACGCCATGAAAATAGCCACAGAAGCTGGCATGGTGTTAAAAACAAACAAACAAACAAACAAACAAACACAATCTCAGGTTACAGGAGAAAGTCGATTCACGATTCATGGTTTAAAGCCAAATATAGTGCTCTACTTGTCTTTTTCAAATGCAGCGGTGTAATTATATGCAATTTCACCATTACTGACTATATTTATAAAAGGTTGTCCATAATTAGTTTGTTATAGGTGTATAACTGCACATAATTACTAGGTTTTACTCTTAACACTATTTTCCCACCATAGATGCCAGCTCAGGATATTACAGTGCTTTGGACCAGACAGACTTTGAAGACGTGGGACCAACCAGTACTGCAGCTCAAAGCATGCCGACAGCTCCTCGGGTGCCTTTCATTCCTGGCTCACATCCAGGCGTCTCTCGCATGATCGTAATGAACAACCTTGTCCTCAAGCAGGTATTACACACTCATACAATTCTCTTAAATCCATAGTTGCTTTTCTTGAAACATCCGTGTTTGAGACTGAGTTATAGTATTGTTTCGGTCAACCCTGTAATTTAACATGGTGATAGTTACAGCTCATTACATTGTGATCTTTGCCTCACGAAAAATCACCAAGAAAAAGCTGAATATGATCAGAGATGTCTGTAAATCATTGAAACTAGTCTATGAATGCCATGTTTTTATGTACTTTGAATTACTCAAAGTAATGCGGCCAGCTGAAGTAGGCAAGAAAAACGTGAAAGTTCTAATATTGTACATTTAAATCCGTTTCAAAATGAATGATATAAAAAAATACATTTGACTTATTCTCTAAGGCAAGTTTTCATACCCTTTCAGAAACTGGTTTAGTTAAATCTGACATATTGATATAAGGTGAGATTATTTCACAACAAATTATTTTATTGGTGCCAGTTGCGGCTAATTAAATATTATGGACATTTGTCCATGGTACGTTATAAGGGTCAAACTTTGCTTCTTGCTTGTACAGCTGTTTTTTCATTGAATAAATGAATAAGACACATCACTGACCCACCTGTTATTGTGGATGAGAACTAAAGAGTATCTGTTTTACAAAATTGTTCATTGATAATTCTTGTTTCAGCCAAACTCTGTGGCCCCTGCGTTAAAACCTTGGAGCTTAAACACTTCATTGGATGTGGTTCCTCAGTCCCAGCTGCTTTTCCTACAGCCAGTCATACCCACCAGTGACTGTAGCAGCCAGAGCTCTGACAAGCAGAAACTTTCCAGAAAGCATGTTCCCATGCAGGGTCCACAAGGGTCTACAGTCGACCAGGGTCCCAGTGCCATCCATAAGAGGGCAAACCACAGTCATAGTGGTAGACATCAACGATGCTGTTATGATGATAAACCTTTCGACAGTTCCTCTTTGAAGCAGGATGATTCTGAGACATGCAAGGGTTATGGAGTAGACCCTTACATTGCTTCTTTGGGAGACATGGGTGTGGAAAGCCCCTCGTCCAGGCTTTCTGACCTTCAGGAGCCCCATACCACTACTTCACCGTTCTCACTTTGCGCTCACTCCCTCCTCGCTTCATTCCCTCAGAAGTGTCCCAATTCTTCATTCGCCCAGAGCAGTGATGGGGAGAATATCTCAGATGACTTCTCTCCAAGTTCCAGCAAACGCAAACGCTTCTGCAACACTTATAATATTCTGAATCGGTCAGGCCTGCTGGGCATCACACTGCGCACAAAGGAACTTATTCGGCAGAACAAACGTTCCCAAGCCCAACTTCAGAGTCTGCAGGCTCAGACTGACCTCTTCTTGGAGGCCATATGTAGTGGAGACCCCAAAGTCTGGACCAGATTACAGCTCATCCTCCAGAACTCTAGAAACAGTGAGGAGACGCCAATGGAATCACCGGTGGACTCTCTAAAGGATGCGGAGAAGGAAACCTCAGATCAGGGTTGTATGGTGTAGTAGCAGGTTTAGATATTAATATTTCAACTGCTGCGGTTTTATGGAATAACCATCTTTACTTAGACCTCAGAAGCTTAGGAAATGTTCAGCTTCTTTTTGTAGATTCAGTTGGAAATGTCAGAGATTTGAGACTTTGGAGATCTAGTTATCACATCATATGTTATCTATCCGATATTAGTCATCCCTACACCTGTGGTTTTGTCAAAAGTATATAAATACAATGTTTAGCTAACAACTGCATTTTTTTCTGAATAAAGTGATTCATTTGATAATGAAGAAATGCTAAAAAAAAAAAACAGTGTACTCCCAGTTTAAAAACAAAGCTATTAACCGTATTTTACTCTAATTGGTTACTATTTGGAAAGGAGGCCTTGGAACACCGGAACTGGAAAGTAAAAATATTTTCTGCTCCGAATGACAACAATGGAAAATGAAACCTTTATTTTCTAATCTTTGTATCTAATAAATGCCTTTGACAAATTACACACATTTGTGTGTTTTATCTTTAAGAGATTATACTTAAGTGCACAATAATATTTGTTTTAATTCAGTTAAAAATGTGAAATTCAGATTCATCCTTGTGACAATTTGAGGATTTGTAATAATGTCTTTGTAATAAACATGATTTGTATGTGTATAATGTGTTTTCATCTCCAATTAAATGTTTTTGTTACTGTTGTTATCTATGCGAATAAAGAGTAAGAGGACTAATAACCTCTTGTGCTAGTCAGTGTGTATTTGAATGGTTATTATTTGTAATGCATTGTGATGAATTCTTAAGTGGGATGTTTGCATAGAGAGAGTGTGAATTTTCTTACAGTTTGGGTGTGAATGGGCAAATTGGCAAATGTTTCTTTCTTCCTGTAGCAATCTGTTATACTGCATGCATACAGATTGTTTGTGTTTGGGAAAGCAGGTACTAAGTACTTGATCAGGTGTAGTACAGTAATGAATGCGACATGTGATAGAATGTACACTAGTGTACTTTATTAACAAGTTGTTGATTTATCAGAAGCCAATACTACTCAATACTTTTTTTTTATGCTGTAGAAATCTATGCAATAGTCTTAGTATTAGTATAAGTGCAGTTTTGTATTCTCTAGGTGTCATTTGACTTTTTATGTGCCTTAAAAAAATAAAGGCATTTTAAATAAATTTCAAATTATCCTCTGGTTATTTCAAGTTTGAACAATGATTTGAAGATCTCTGAAACTATCAAATTGTTCAACAGTTTAAAATAGGAAACTATATACATATATATATATATATATATATTCACACCGTGCTGGGTAGTAACTAATAATCTGGAATACATAATCAAATTAAAATGAAGAAGGCTACTTGTAATTATTAAATTTTAAAGGGGTCCTATTATGACCTTTTACAAAGTCTTGATTTTGTTTTTGGGGTGTACTAGAGAATATGTTTTCATACTCGATTGTTCAAAAAACACATTTTCACATATTTTACATTATTACAGCTCCTCTCTCCCCAGTCTGGTTGAACACGTCATTTTCGATGAAGCCCCTCCTTCCGAAATATGAAATGCGCTGTGATTGGTTAGCTGACCAATGTGTTGTGTTTGGCTTTGGCAGCGCTTAGCGTGTGTTTTGGAAATGGGGCAGCTGAGGCAGCGCTGCGTAACAGTTTTATGATCTGCACCAAAATAGATCGAGCTTTGGTGAAAACTAAGTGAATATTTAATGACTTGTATGCAATAGTAATTTCTTGCTAAAAATGACATCATAAGTGGAAAACGTTGATCAAAAATGTACATAACACACAAACTGACTACCAGCATAGACAGTATAAGAAGTGGACAGAGCCATCTCATTGGAACTCAGTTGAGACAGTTGAAGCCCATTTTTAGCGATTTTTGAGCACTTCCGTTCCTGACGCGCAGACTCAAACCAAGGGGGTAATCCATCGACCGGAAGTTGAAGCCGGCCGGGTGCCGCCATGTTGTAGCAGAACTTCACTTGCGTTAGCATTTCCATTGACTACCATTCATTTTGGCGTCACTTTGACAGCGAATAACTTTACATCTGAGGCGTTTAAAGACTCCATTTGTCCATTATTTATTTCTAAAGAAACACGACAATGTATAAAGTGCGCCATTACCTTCTATGTTACATTATGGCCCCGTAGAAACAGTTTTAGTAAAAATAGGCTAACGATTGCGTCATAACCACTCGACTCTCTGTCGCGCTGTACAGAAATGACCGTACAGACAGGAGGAGAAGCTCGCAGGCGATCGGGGGGACGTCCCGTCAAGGGAGAAGCCCATAGATAATGAGTCCATAAAAGCAACGGAATACTTACTCCTGCTCACTCACGCCAAAGAACTCTTTGCTCAAGTTCCCCGTCTCTGCAAGATTAACGTTGGCAATTTTCACGCACAGCTACTAGAAGATTTACGTCTGTCAGACAGGTTGCTCACGTCATCAAAGCTTAGTTTGAGTCGGTTTGAGTCTGCGCGTCAGGAACGGAAGTGCTCAGAAATCGCTACAAATGGGCTTCAACTGTTTCAACTGAGCTCCAATGAGATGGCTCTGTCCACTTCTTATACTGTCTATGACTCAAACCGACTCAAACTAAGCTTGATGACGTGAGCAACCTGTCTGACAGACGTTAATCTTCTAGTAGCTGTGCGTGAAAATTGCCAACGTTAATCTTGCAGAGACGGGGAACTTGAGCAAAGAGTTCTTTGGCGTGAGTGAGCAGGAGTAAGTATTGCGTTGCTTTTATGGACTCATTATCTATGGGCTTCTCCCTTGACGGGACGTCCTCCCGATTGCCTGCGAGCTTCTCCTCCTGTCTGTACGGTAATTTCTGTACAGCGCGACAGAGAGTCGAGTGGTTATGACGCAATCGTTAGCCTATTTTTACTAAATCTGTTTCTACGGGGCCATAATATAAGATAGAAGGTAATGGAGCCCTTTATACATTTTCGTGTTTCTTTAGAAATAAATAATGGACAAATGGAGTCTTTAAACGCCTCAGATGTAAAGTTATTCGCTGTCAAAGTGACGCCAAAATGAATGGGAGTCAATGGAAATGCTAACGCAAGTGAAGTTCTGCTACAACATGGCGGCACCCGGCCGGCTTCAACTTCCGGTCGATGGATTACCCCCTTGACTACCAGCCGCAACTTTCAGACGCCATATTTATTTTTCTAGCTCAACTGTCACAGAATGGAAAGCACAGGATTGTGGGATATCAAAGGCAGTGAAGGATACATCTATAGGCTACTGCCTTCATAAATCGATCAGATGAAGGTTTCTCAGGAGACAGGAAGTGAAACTAACATTGCATTCGGACATGCCTTGATGCCTTCCGACCTTGGAATGTGTCCTCCGAAGGCACCATTTATCAGTTTTCGGATGCAGCCATAAATATTAACATGGCATACATTTTAAACCATTTCGAGCCCGATTCAGACCCTGACAATGTTAACGAACAAGAGGATTGTGCTGAACGGATTTCAAGCACGGACTTTGCAAGCACGGATTTCACAGGACGTTTAAGAGTGATATGTTTTTTTTTTTCTTTTCTTATAGATAAGATGTTATCCACCATTTAATCATATTTGGCTTACAAAAGCAAGAGCTTACAAAAGCTAAAGTAAACACTACATCAATGTTAGTTAGCAGGCTAGCGGAGGCAAAGCATTGTCCTTCAATTACATCATAGCTATCATACTGCAAGTACATAAAGCTTATAATTGGAACTGTTATTAGAAAACACAACTAGAATTAATGACATACTTACAAGTTGTGATCCATGAAAAACAGATTTTCCCGACAAAACGGGAATGTTACGTCTTTCAGGAGAAGCTTTTGTGAGTATAGCCTGCATTGTACTCTCTTCTGGAAGCTGTTCTCCGTAAAATGTGATGCGCACAGACAAACGTTGAGGTTATAATGTTCAGGAACAGTGTTAAAAATAGATGTAACCTTTCTAAGTTCATCAGCTTTAGGACAAACTTTTTCCGGGGTGTAAAAAACAGCGACAACTCCTCTTCCTCTTCTCTAAAGCAGCCCAACATGGCCTCACCGGAGGGCGGGGTTTAGCGCGATGTAGTCCCCACCAGACGTTTGTTGTAGTCCTTAAAAAGCAATTACTTTAATAGAAAATATCTCTATTTGCATTGAACGTTTAACATTGTATCTTTGCAGATGTTGTTTATGCTCAAACAGCAACATTACAAACTAACTAAAGTTAAAAAAGTGAAATCATAAATTTAAAATACTCATAATCAGTAATAGTTACTTTTTTATTGATTACATGATTATGTTATTCTCACAATGGCAGCAAAATATTCATAATTTATTGATTCTCCCTACTACTTCTTTTATATCTCTTACATTTTTCTTTCTAGAAAAGCCTAGTGCTTATACGTTGAGAGGTTTGTGGAATTGCACATCATGACCAGCTACTATGTGCCTGTCACTAAAAACTGAGACCCACACAGCATTTGATCACTGGATGTACAGAAATCATTTCACTTAAGAAGTGTTTTCTCAACATTGCATATCTAACAAACTCCTGACGAACACATCTAACCATGCATTACTGTCTTTGTCTTTGGAAGGTTTTTATAATTCAAACACATTCAAATATACAAATTCATGTAATTTCATATTTGCATGGAATGCAAGGATTCCCCAACTTTTTTTGTCAACTGAACCTCTTTGACCTAAAGTAGACCTGAAGTACCCCTGAGATTTTAGGATTAGGATTATCCTATTCAAATCAATGTGATAAACGAGTTAGGTTAAAAGTAATCAAAAAGTAGTCGCGTTATATTACAGCAATTGTGTAATGTGATGGATTACGTTACTAACTACAATTTTTGCCATGTAATTTGGAGTCAGTAACCAACTACAATTTGTAAGTAATCAATTTTTGAGCCAAAACATTATGACCACCTGCTAATATTCTGTTGGTCCTCCGCTTGCTGCCAAAACAGCCCTGACCCGCCGAGGCTTGGACTCTACAAGACCCTGAAGGTGTCCTGTGGTATCTGGCACCAAGGTGTTAGCAACAGATCTTGAACTCTTCATCATGTTCCTCAAACCATTCCTAAACAACAGCATTATCATGAAGGGGAGTACCTGGTCTGCAACAATGTTAAGGTAGGTGGCACTGTGGCAACCGTCAAATTGATGTCCACATGAATGATCGGACCCATGGGTTTCCCAGCAGAACATTGCCCAGAGCATCACACTCCCTCCACTGGCTTGTCATCGTCCCACAGTGCATCCTGGTGCCATCGCTCGCTTCCCCAGGTAAACAGCGCACCTGGACACGGCTGTCCACTTGATGTAAAAGAAAACGGGACAACCTTCTTCCATTGCTCCAAGGTCCAGTTCCGACGCTTCCCAATTCTAGGTGCTTTCGATGGTGGACAGGGGTCTTCATGCGCACTCGGTTTGATCTGCGGCTACGCAGCAGAGTTTAATGCACTGTGTTGTGACATATTCCTCCCATTGCCATTATTAAAATGTTGTGGCTTGTGCCACAGAAGACCTTTTGTTGACTTGGACTACACAGATAGCCTTTGTTGCCCTCATGCGTAGATGAGACCTTGGCGCCCAACACCCTGTCACCAGTTTGTGGTTTGTTCGTCCTCGGACCACTGTTGGTAAATTCTCACCACTGGTGACCGGGAGCAACCCAATTTCTCCTGCATCCACGGAGAACACGTTGAC